GTGCTTCTGGCCAATTACAGCCCCCGGATCTGAAGGAGTGTAAGCCACCCATGTGAACAAGGTGTTGCATGGAGTAGGACATTAAGGTTTACATACATGTACATAAATTACATATAATTTATAAACATACTGAAGATCTTAAGATTGATATTCTACCCACTGGACAAAGATGGTACAAGTGGATCCTGTTGGATCAGTGTGATGTCGTGTGAAAATTAAAATGAAAGACGTCAATAAATGAAAAGTAAATGTCCCTAAACTATCCTGCAGAGCAACGTCCTGTAAAGAAATAAAATCCCCTCCTTTCTCGGCCATTAAACCTCAGGTAGTCTCTTTAACTCAGGGTAACATTTGAAATCATGTGGAGTCATTAAAAAAACTAATGTGACCACCGTCCCTGTTTGGTAGCTTTTACGACTCGGTTATGATCCCTAACTGGTCTGTGAAATCCAAGCCGGCCATAAACAGCCATCAGGCCACATGGACTGACAGGCAGAAAAAAACATTATGTACACAACATACCTCAATGCCCAGGCACAGGTTGGTCCCACCATGGGATTATGTATAAGTACTCAAACACTGCCATCTATAGGGACTCACTAAATCTCGGCATTAAGGAGCTTGCTGTATAAGATGGTGATTTTTCTTTTCTGTTTTGTTGACAGCCTCATTCCAAAAAGGCCCAGAGGTTCGACTATGTAAGAAAAACCTTTTTTATTTTAACCTTTATTATTTTAACGTCACTTATTTGTTTGGTCTCCCGTGAAATAACTGAACCATGTGTAATTATGTTATTATAGGTGATGGACTTCTTGAAAAGCATGGCTGGTACAGAGTTTGTGGGCTTCAGCAACGCAGCGTGAGTGCATGGTGCTTAAAAAAAATGCACACCATTAATCTCTCTATTTTGAAATACAACTTTCTCAAACCTGTTCTGTTCTTGCAGCTTCCAGTCAGAGAGGGAGACTGGGGATAGGAATTTTGCAATTGGTTATTACCTCAAAGAGAAAAAAGTGAGTTTTTGGGGTGATTTATGTTTTGTAACAAATACATCAGGTGCTTGCAAAGTGTTCAGAAAAAAATAAAAATTAGCCTTAGTATGTACTGACCTTGATATAACTCGTCGCAGTGCTTTCCTGAAAATGCAGACATGATAGCAGCCCTTGACTTCTACTTTCAGGTAAGACTCTTTAATAATGTAGTATTCTGTGAATCAACAATATTAAAAGGTTTGACAGTTTTGGGTGATAAGCGTGATTTGTCAAGAGGAGGAAAGGAAGCTTGAGCCCCATCCCATTTTCTTTTCGTTCAATATAAAGCTACAGCCAAGAGGCAATTGATGTAGTTTAGCATAAAGTGTCCACTAGTTGCCTGGTAACATTACCGTGACAGCAGGACTCCAGGAAGTCACTTTACCCAGCCAAGAAAAAAGTCTTGTGCATCCATACTCTAAAAAGCAAACCGACTAAACTGCTAAAATGTAATATGTTAGTGCTTGGAACATCTTTTTAACCTTTAATACCAAGCTAAGATAGCTAGTGTCCCATGTTAGCAGCCTTCATTCTAGGCTAAGCTAAGGTGCCCAGCCGCTGACTGCACCATGGTATTATGTAATAATCTTCTCGGCTAATTCTTGGCCAAAATACGCAGACTTTTTCTGTAAAAGTAATTTGTATGCATCTGAATAACATTTGTTATTTTACTTCTTTAACCATCTCAGTTATGCTCCATTGAGGTGACTTGTGAGTCAGGAAGTGTCATGGCTTCCACACTAGCCAACGGGGGTATTTGTCCAACCACAGGCGAGCGTGTGCTGAGCGCCGAAGCCGTTCGAAACACCCTGAGTCTCATGCATTCCTGTGGCATGTACGACTTCTCAGGCCAGTTTGCCTTCCATGTGAGTCGTTGGGAATTCAAGGATCTGTTTTGACATATTTTTTTTGCACCAGTTGCCCTGAGTTGCTCTTGTGTGAATTCTTAACTTGAATATCTTTGCTTGCTCCTCATGCTCAGGTGGGCTTGCCTGCTAAATCTGGGGTCTCAGGCGCTGTTCTGTTGGTGGTCCCTAATGTCATGGGCATGATGTGCTGGTCTCCACCTTTAGATCGGCTCGGAAACAGCGTTCGTGGAATTCACTTCTGTCAGGTATCTCAGCTGCAATCCTCGCTTTATCACTGTAACTGAATTATTCAATACATATACATATTTCAAATATTCCATCCTTATAAACATTTGATTCCATAGGATCTGGTGTCACACTTCAACTTTCACAATTATGACAACCTGAGACACTTCACAAAGAAACACGACCCCAGGAGAAAATCAGATGGCGATCCAGTAAGTTCAGTGCAACAAGCATAAAGGCTGCAAATATCACTCAGACTAGTAAGAAACATATTTGCTCCATGGGGTTATAACACATTCTGAAATATCTTCATGGAGAAACAGTCCACTACTACACTATAATGATTTCTTTTTGATCCATAGCACAAGTCAGTGATAAACCTGATGTTTGCAGCCTACAGGGGTGACGTCGGTGCTCTAAGAAGGTAAGAAAAAAACAAATAAATGTGTTTTATTTTTCATCACCTAACTCTGACAACAGTTGAGTAAACAACAGTTGGATGACGCAAACTCAAAGAAACACTGATCCACTTTTTCACTCTGATGTTGATCATTAGATGGAAGGAATTGATACCACTTTCATATCTGTCAGATAAAAATGTAACTGGAGCCGGGGGCAGCTTCACTTGGCTTAGCTTAGTGTCAAGGCTGAGAGCAGGCGGAACAGCCCGCCGCATAACTAGTCTGTTTACCAGCATGGTTTCGTAATCTGTACACAAAACAACAGCTAATCACATTTCACATTACCAAACATTTGAGCTTCTATTGGACTGGTTTGGTTATATTTTAAGAGAGCACGGCTAAGCTTTATTTATTTACATCTGAACCTTACCTGATTTGCTTTAAGGGCTGCACGGTGGTGCAGTGGTGCAGTGGTAAGCTCACAGCGAGAAGGTTCCTGGTTCAAATCCCTGTCAGACAGGGCCTTACTGTGTGGAGTTTACACGTTCTCCCCGTACATGTGTGGGTTCTCTCTTGGTACTCTGGCTTCTCCCACAGTCCAAGCACCCGTAGGTGTGCATAAGAGTGTGGCTGGTTGTCTGTCTCTATATGTCAGCCCTTTGATTGACAGTCCAGGTTGTAACCCCGCCTCTCGCCCAATGACAGCTGTTTCCAGTTTGTACATGAAATTCATTATATCTATTTTTGAAATGAGTGGGAATTGCTAGTAATATATATTGATACTTTCACAATCCACCATGGCCCGCTCTATAATAGAAAAGATGTAGAAACTCAGGTACTACAAGGTGGGACCTTTAACAAGTTCTTTACTTATGTAAGTGCAGGGCTACTCAGCACAGTTTGACAGTTTGCTGTCAACTGTTAACCTTTTCGTTTGTGTTTTCTCTCCTCGACTCTGCTCCTTTTGATTTTTTCACCTCTCCAGGTTTGCCCTTTCAGCTGTGAACATGGAGCAGACAGACTACGACTCTCGCACAGCGCTCCACATTGCTGCAGCAGAAGGTGACACCTCATTACAAGTTTTTTCATGGTTCAATAATCTTGGCTTGGATATTCAAACAAGAACAAATTGATCTATTTTTGTCTTTCAGGTCATTTGGAAGCTATTATCTTCCTAACTGAAATATGTAAAGTGAATCCCCACATGAAGGACAGGTAGAAATTTGACTTTAAACATTTAATCTATTCAAAAATGATTTGAAAAAATGTTTTTTAATTACATTGTGTTGTTTATCAGATGGGGAAACACACCTGTTGATGATGCCATCCAGTTTGGCCATGGAGTGGTTGTTACTCTGCTGCAAGAGTACCAGAGCATTTACGATGAAAGGGAGTCCCATGTGGACACAGAAGAACAGAAGCCCTCACTGGATACATTAAAGAGCCTTGCTTAAGGGTCATGAGGGTTTCTTGAGAAATATCATCCATTTTAAATATCCACCTGAGGGGACTGAAAGGCGCCAGATTGATTTAGGAACATGAAAAATTGATGGGGTTTTCTTAAATGTAAAGTAAATGTGACATACTGGTAAAAGAGGGATCATCCTTTAGACTGCTGAAAAGCTATAAGGTGCAATATGATGTCCCTCTAATGCATTTCTGCAGACTGGAGCAATAGTTCGATAGTGTGGAGCATCAACACAGCACTATATATACAAAGCCATGTGGTGCTTGTGTGGAGGAAAATGACAGTAAATTGAGCCATGATTTGGTTTCCGTTGCAATATTAATGATGTTTTTCAGGCTTTGCTTCTGATTGAAAATGCCACCAAGATGTAAATATCTAGTATATATTCATTGTGCTTATTTATTTTTAAAACATTGAAATATATTTTTGCTTCATCAGCATTTCATTTGATCAGAGGGTTTTATGCCCCCTGTGTAATGATGGTATAAATATTCCCAAAGCTGCTTCATTATTATTCTACCTCTACAGGAGGGGTTTGATTGCATTTCAGCCTGTAGCACTAGAAGTACCTTCATTGTAGCTTGCACCACATTATAGATTCTCAGCTTGTGTTTACCTTGTTTCATTCTTTTTTGAGGGACTTTCTCTTTTATAATAAACGTGAGCTCATGTTTGTAGTTTCTTGGGAATCAAAGACTTATCTCCACGTCTCAGGTACTGGAAGCAGTGCATGAAAAAAAAAAAACATTCTTAATATATATAAATAACTTTTGCAAATTAGACACATAGAAATTTGAAGTGATCTTTTACAAAAAAAGACATTAAAGCACTGTGCACCTTTGTCATCATCAAAATTTTATTTGACTTCAATTCATTTTCTCAAATCCTTAACTTGACTGTTTAACGGTTTAACCACGCCGATGATGATTCCTGAGCATGACATAAGCTTCAGTCTGTCCCTGTAAATATGTACTATCCTGCTGTAAATAAAAGCGACATGTAGAAGTATTTTAATTGAAGTAATTTTATTAAACAATATACCATTTGAACATGAGTTCAGACTATTTTGTTTTGTGTGTTGATATCCGCTTTGAAACTGGTAGGTATTTCAGGTACAGCATAAGACACTATGGCAGTTAATGATCGTCAAAAAAGAAAAAAAAAAAGAGTAATACTTGAGGTATGCACAGAAACTGCATATGTGAAAAGACTGCCTGAGGCTGGACGGCATACATTAAGTATTAAGTTTCATTATTAAGAGTCATCAGTTTGAAACAGTACCACAGAAATTGAATAATTGCTTGCAATCACCCTGTAAATGATATCCACGTTGATATTGCTTTTTTCTGCACCATACTGATGGTTACTGCCCATTTCTGAATGCGAGCCTGTCACCTTTCATGTCCACGATGTTTATCAGAATCATGGTTCATCCTGCTTCACTTCAGCCCCTCTGGCTCCTCCAGCCCAGAGTGTGTGAGCAGCTCCCCATCCCAAAGTCCAAAAGCAGGGCAGAGGGGAGCCTTGAACTGGACCCTGATGCTGTGAATGAGCCTGGGTTTTTCGATGTCCACAAGCCCCAGAAGGCCGCCTTCGAAGTCCAGCAGGAGCCCAACGCGGTCTGGCTTGCCCACCAGCGTCACAGGAACTATTTTATTGCTGGTCATAGCAAACCACTTGCGCTGAGCATAGCCGAACACCCAGGAGGAGCTGTTGGTACCCACGCAGTCTTCTCGGGACATTAGGGCCTCGGCCACACCAAGACGGAATTCCTGAGACTTTTTGACCGTCACTTCCCAGTAATGTCGTCCGCTGCTGATCTTCTCATCGCCGAACACGACGGCCCAGTCCCGGAAACGCTCAGGGTTGCCCTGCACGTGGCTGGGGTCTATGCCCAGCATGCGGTAGATCACACCTGTGTCTTTTTTGAAGAGGTCCAGACTGCTATGGGCGGTTCGCTCATCAAGCCTGAACTGAACATCTACAGAGAATCAGAGCAGGAGAAAAAAATATGATATTTGTTTATAAAAACCTCATGTGAGTGTCAGTGTCTACAAAATTGATCCGAATACTATTCATGGGCTTAACAGAGTACAGCAGGCATACTAAGGACTGACCTTCAATTAAACATTTATAACATATTTTAAAGTTTTCATATGTAGTTTAGTTTAAAAAAAAAATGTGGCATGGAAAGAAAAGAACGGAGTAAAATAAAAATGTGAACTTTACTCCAGTATTCAAGTTTAAACGACGACTATCACTCTCAGCCACAAGTGCGTAAACAAGATTTCGGGTACACGCATGCGCAATCGGCACTACAAAAAGACAGCCAAGGCTCGGTTAAATTGACTTCCTCAGTCTTTGCCGGTCTGCATTAAGATGCGTTACTATGTTACCTCAGCTACAGCCAGGTTACCGTTTTGTTGTATTAGGGGCAAACTAGCACAATAATAACATCAGTAATAAGTAGTCAGGATGCCTAAAAGGACATCGACCCTTGAGCTGCACTCACAAACCAACATCTCTTTAACTACTGATAACTTTAACAAAACATTTACTCACTATTCCCCATCGAGGTGGATATATAGCATCTTGTCGTCGGCAGGCTGACAGTCCGCCTGTGTTTAACTAGCACGGAGGCGACAGTCCGTCCTGCCAGGCGACAGAGACGAGCTGCATTTGTGGGTAGCGCCATGTTTTTCGCAGCTGCTCGCACATGTTTTGAGTTCCTTCTGCTTCTCAGTGCAGCTGAACGCGCTCTGCTTCCCCCTGCAGGCACGGGGAGTAACACCTAGACACCGACACAGCCATAAAGCGACACACATCAGCACCTCGGACAGCAGCCAGGCAAAACTGTGTAAAAATGTGCAACTACGTCATGTCTCAGTAAGTAAGTGTGCCACTTCAACTAAAATTACCCTCACCAAAACATCGTTAACTCCCAGGATATTATAATTTAAAAATCTATTTAAAAATCTATATAAATCTATAAAGGATTTTAGATTTTTTAAATGAAATGATGAAATACTTCATTAATCCCGCAGGGAAATTCTGGTTTACACTCTGTTAAATGATGGGCACCTTTCAAAATGTTTAAGATTGTTCAAATGAGATTTGGCAAATAGCATATAAAAGTCAAGTTCAGCATTTGGCTGTACAAAAAAACAACAATGGGGATGCATACTTACTGCCGATATGAAATGAAGGGACAGCTTTAGAGTGCTAAAAGTCATGTTTGGATTTGATAACAAAAAGTAGCTTTTGGTCTCCTCAAGTCCTTACAGTGGTTTGTTGCTCTACAGCAGATCATTTACAGGAAATAAATACAGTGTTTTACTCAATTTCTAAACAATAAATCTTAGAGGAAGCTTAATCAAAATGTTTCTCCTTCACACATCAGATTTAATGTCAGTTTCTGCATTGATTATAGCTATTCATGCTGGATGTTAGAGCAGCTCCTCTGCACAGTCGTGGGACATTTAATGTCACCGATTTTCTTTTTCCATGCTGATGCATTTAAGATTGAAGAGCAATACATAATTTATGGCATGCAATAAATACTTTGTTGTATTAACAAAGCATGATTCAGCTTGCTGCACAGCCAGACCCATTTTTCACTGCAGTATCCAGCTGTGGGGGCTAAATGTCATTGTTTATTTATGGTCCAATTAAAACAAGGTTTCTATCATTATTTAGCTGTTGTTTAGAGGCCTTCAACCTGTCCCACCTAAGATATACGTGCATATAGGATTTAATTATACATTGTCTATTTTTCTATCATAAGTTATGTTGTTGCCTGTTCATTCTGATCGCCTGTATGAAGCCAAGTCATATTCTTAATTGCAAATGTATGGCAAGAAATAATTTGGACTAGATTTTAATAACATATTCACTTAAAACAAAAACAAAAACAAAAAAAAAGAAAAGCATAATCCCATATCGTACAACATAACTATTCTACATGGTATACTTCTTCAAATGAAGTGCCTTTGAAATGACATCTTTGATGTTATCTGCCAATAAACAGATTATTTGCCACTATAACTAGTTTTGGACTCTTACTCAGACATAAAAAGCTGTTGTATTACTTCAACTTGTGCTATGGGTTGTTGTTTTTTACTGCTTTAACTTTGAAGGCATTCCACAGACCAAAGTAAACAAATTTTTTTAAAGACATTTTATAGACCAAAAAATTAAAGATAAATAAATAATAACCGTCAGTCACTTATTAAAATGCAATGGTAATGAAGAGGAAAGTGTTATGAAACATGCATTCAAATTCAAAAGAGGAGTCAGATTTTGAAGGAGCTCAGTAATTTTTCATGTGTTGTTTATCCCTCAGCTTGTGACATGCTCAATTTAATTATTTTTTTTACCCAAAGTAAACCAAGTGATGTTTTTGGTCTTACAGTGACATCTTGATTGTGTTAAGGCTGCAGGATTTCTTTACTCAGTCTGGGTTTTTCCTGGCTTTTCTGGTTTTGTGTTTCCCCTGGTCCTAATGGCACATTACTGGGTCATTCATTCTGTTTTTGGTGAATGTGGGAACTCCAACGGCCAGACACTTTCACATCAACAAGACAATTTCATGTTGATATTATGTATTAGAGAATAGAGTTCATCTTAAACTGAACAGGAGCGATACAATCTGGGGATGTGATGTTTTAAAGGTGCAGGTTTTACCAAGCAGACCTGGTGTATCACAGGTAATTTCTTGGTTCTGTTCCTGAAATAAGGAAACGTAGTCGTAGATAAACCTTTTATTAATAACAAACAAAACAAAATCTCCAGTTTTAGAAAAGAGAATACCCAATAATGTTATATGATCTTCAAAGTCAACGTTCAAATAGGAGAGGTAATATTAAACATCTATCATACTTTTTTTCGATTCCAGTTTTTCTGTTTGACAAGCAATGTATAGGCAAATAATAAAACAGGCTGAATGTCACAGCTGGACAAAAGAACTCTGTGGGTCAATGAGTCTTGTGAGATGTTGAGTTTCATTTGCTTTAGACAGCTATGGCATTAAAAAATAGATCTTCATTAAGAGCTTTGGTGAGTTTGATGAAGATGTGAAGACAGAAGTACCTGCCCTTCCTCACTCTTACATTTACTATTTGAAATTAGAACCACAAAAGTTTACATTTTTTCATAACTGCTGAAGTGGAAGGAGATTTGCCTCAGTCATTCAATCCAATTCATATGTATCGGTGCACAGTGTTAGGTGGGGGTTATTTCTGTATTAAATGGACAATGATGAAATCGTGAAACAGACTGTGGATCATCTTAGGATTTATTCAGCAATGGTCAGACAAGACAGAAACACAACACACATGGCTGACAAAGTGCAGACCATCGCTGACCCATGCTGACCAAGATCTCACAATCTTGCAATCATCTTGCAATCATTGGCAATCATTGGCAAAGTCTTCATCGCACAGTGTTGCTTATATTCTGTTGGCTCCTATCCAAAGATAGATAGATCTGCTACAATTTAAATGTTTCACCATATAAGGTTACAGCTTCACAGACCCAAAAGAAGAATTCCTGTGAGATGGTTGACACAATTTAAAGACATGTCCACAAAATTATCAAGATGAATGAATCCATGAAAATACATACTAACAGTGAACAGCCATCTGCTCTGACTGGATGCTGGAAGAAATCAAGGAGAGATCACAGGTTACACAGGATTTGAACAGACACTTGACCTGATGTGACAACATGACTTTGGTTCAAGATGCATTATGGGAAAAAAGGATCCAGTGCTTTTGGTAGACTACATGATCAATACTCTGAGGAAAGAAATCTAAGATATCACATCCTCTGCTCCTTAAATGTAGACATTTTCATCTGTAAATCTGTCTCTTGTGGGAACCCATCTTCATGACAGGGTAATACTTTAGTCTTTTTTTTACCTCTTTAGTGTCATGCTGAATTTTCTTCTTTGTGATTAAGTCTACACCCAAAGGTTTTACTTCGGCTTTCTGTGTCTGCAACTTGGATTGGATTCTTTGAGGCTTTATCTTTCTAATCCCTATCATATAAAAACTTGAGAAGGATTTCCTTACAGACAGAATATGTCCTCCTATCACAAGCTACGCTCCAAGTCCCAGAACTCTCTCTCTCTCTCTCTCTCTCTCTCTCTCTCTGATTCTACCCTGGATGTGGTCTGAAGATGTGAAACTACATTTAACTCTCAGGTGGTCAGCACGGAGCGTCAGTCTGCTCTCCTCTCCTCTCTCGTCCACTGGAGGAAAGCTTACGACTCAACCACCGAGCAGAATAACCCACCGACAGTCTCCCAAACACAGATTCTTGAGAGGAAAACAATCTCCTGACTTGACCCGAAAAACTGCGGATTGAAAAGGACATGCGTCAAGCCAGAGCTACGAGGGGAACTCTTCATAAATGAGCAGAACTGTCAGAAGGATTCGCTCCTCTTCTCGCTATCCTGCTTTCCTCTGGTTGGCGTGCAGGACTGAAGCTTGCTTCACTGGACTTATCGACAGACGAATTAGCAGCCTGATGAAACACGTTGACAGCCCCTTTCTTTGCGTTCCTTTCGCTGAGTAAAAAAACCTGCAAAACATCAATTTGTTGCAGCGCTGAAGGACCTTTATTGTGACATCTTTGTAATGCACGCGTTTGAGTCGCCCTGCTCTTGCACGCCTACTTCTGAGAAATGCATCGCTTCTGCACACGAATCGTGCTCTTCTGACTTTTTGAAAGCGCGGCGGATGCTGACAATGTTTCTCACTCAGTCTGCATGAGAGATGGCGACCCAAATCGCACCAAGTTCACGAGCGCCTTTCTCCACGTTTGCACCTGTTTGGATGGGTATTGCCAGTTTATGCCACAGGTGAATGAACATCAGTGATTATTCGCTTAACAGAGAGTGCTTTTTGAGCTGTTTTCTGACTCAGATCGATCTTGTTGCGCGTTCACAATGGATCTCAAAGTAGAACCTGAAGAAATGGACACGAATCAGCCTCCACCCATAGAAGTTTTCTCGCACAGCTCGACACTTCACGGAATTTCTCACATATTCACGTACGAGCGCTTCTGCATCAAACGCTGCCTGTGGGTCGTGTTTTTCCTGGGCTCCCTGACCTTTTTGCTGTTCGTGTGCGTGGACCGGATCCACTTTTACCTCGAGTATCCACACGTCACCAAACTGGATGAGATCTCGACCCCGATCATGACGTTTCCCTCGGTCACTTTCTGCAACCTAAACGCCTTTCGCTTCAGCCGCGTGACGCGCAACGACCTGTACCATGCAGGGGAGCTGCTGGCCCTGCTCAACCAGAGGTAACCAGTCACAGTTTGATTTCTTCATAGTATTTAGCCCAATAATAAGAGCTTTTCTTGAACTTTTTATTCATTTCGCTACCCTTATTATGCATTATTGCATTGTGTTACATCCAACCTCCTATCTCTCCTCACTTTTTATTAAAACATAAATACGTTTCAAAATGCACATTTATATGGCTGAATACAAAATATCAGTCCTGCTGCCTATTAAGAACAAACTGCATGTGTATGTATACTTCGTATTAAGTCTAATAACAGTTTTTTTTGTAATGAGACATTATTCACAACTCAACAAACAGAAAACAACAAATCAAAACAACTCAACCACCTGCAATAGTCAGAGGCGTCATGTTCAGTCAAACTGGTGGGGCCCGTGCCCCCCATTCAAAATGCAAAAAAAAAGCATATTGTCATCTACTTTTTCCATAAAGCACCCCCCCCCCCCAGAACTTTGTCACACATGACGCCCCTTGTAACAGATTTTTTCAATGCAAGACTTTCATTTGATGGTGTATTTTCACATTCCTTTATTAAATATTTTCTTTAGTAAATTATCCAAATACTTGGCTATGACAGAGTGTTTCCTATGTGCATTTCTGTACACAAACGCAATGTGCATCGTTGAAAGGAAATTTTGGGAGTTAGCATATAAATGTTGAAGATTAAGCAAATTTAAAAAATAAATTAAAAATGTAAGCATATTAAAAGTGAAGACATTAAATCACTAATAGACAATGCACCTGAGAATCTGTTTGAGTTTGCTGCTGAATGTTGTCTCAGTTGTGATGGACCTCAACTCAGCAGGTAGCTTGTTCCAGAGAGCAGGACCACAGTGACTGAAAGCACCCTCTTCAGACTGCGATCTAATTCAGGGTACTGCCAGAAGCTGCCGCCTGATGACTTGAGAGGCATTCATCCAACACTGGCAATTGTGTCTCACTCATCCAAGTAGCTCTAATAGTTTCTACCTTGTTGAGTTGTGCTGTGGCTTGGAGAGCGGGCTCGCATTAACTGAGGCGTTATAATCAGAGAACGCCAGCCGTCGTGGGGTGCAGTTCCAGAGAGCTCTGGATGCTGGAGCTGGCAACATCGAGCACGATGCATTGGAGGAAAAGATGTGGAGAGTCTGCTTCCTTTGATTACAAGTGTAACTGCAGACGCTGTGGGTATTTTTGTCACTTAGACATTTAGATCCTGCTGTCTCTGCAACTTCAACCCAGCTGCAAAAGCACTCCAACCCTTCTCTTTATATCTGTTTCTGAGCTTTTTGATATTTTTATGCTCTGGATAGTTGGATAAAAAGGACAGTGATGGAGGAACAGCATATTTTCAGTGATTAAGGTCATGCAGAGGCTTGACCGAGATGAAGAGTATGAAGAAAGAGCGAGACTGTGACTAATACTGGCCTTGAAAGCTGTTTGCTAAACATGTTTCCCTGTGGTGTTGTAATATTGCTTCAAATGTCAACAGAGGCCCAATAATGAAACAAGCAAGCGAGAAAAAAATAATTCACAATATTAAGTACTACAGTATTGGCCAGAGCCTTTAATATCACTGATCATAAATCTCAGAGCTCAAATGGGAACGTCTGACGGACTGTCATTTAAAGAGATCAAGGACAGGCCAGCTAAAGCCCTCTGCCATTTCTATCCTAAATCTTTAATGAGGATCCCAGACTGATCACCAAAATTAGCATTTTTTCCATGACATTAGTGTGACTGTTAATCAGGACTTGCCATCTGGATATTTTATTTTTACATAAACACATCTCCTAATCTCACATTTCCAGGCGGCGGTTCACAAGAAAGACATTTCAAAGTTGGAGCTCAAAGCATAATGAGGGCTAAATCTCCATCTGAGTTTCCTTCTCCATGTACTCGTCTCAACTCTCACACTCTGAAGTAGATTTAGTGTTCATTATCCTGCCTCCCCTGGCAAGGTAGGGAGGCCATGCAACGGCACACTTAGCTGTTATACCCCCGGCCAGAAGCCAAAGTGCTCAGGGCATGAAATCCATTTAAGACGCCTCTCCGCCCACTTCCCATGTTTGGAGTCACTGGTCTGGGAAATGTCTTGTGGCATGATATTTTAGTGGCACACATGCTCAAGTGTCAGCCCTCGCTGATCCCGTCGGCTCTGTCTTATGGGATTCTATCTCCTAAGTGCCTTCTTGGCAGGTTTGTCCACTACACAAACAGCGGGGAGCGAGTGCCTCTCCTCAATTAAGTTTTCTTTCAATCAAACAAAAACACTTGGCCATGAAGAGGCCTTGGCCAAAATCTCAATGTCACAAAAAAAAAATCTATGGGCTAATATTTAACCCAGAAGGACGTTAGTTTATCGATTTAATGTTTGGATGATTTCAGTTAAAGTGTTAAAAGTCCCTTTGCTCTCGTGAATTATGTGAAACAAGACGATTACTGCACCCTATTCCAAGTTTTACAACACATTTTATGGTTGTGTGTAAAGCTGTGATTATACATCACACACTACCAGCTCCTGTTTAAATACTATTAATCTCATTCTTATTCATGTAATTCATGGAACACATCCATTTTATGTTACATAAAAGATCAATAAAATACCCTATTCATACGAGAATGGCTGCATTCATGTGGACATTTTCTAAAGGACATTTAATTAGAGGTAGTGCTCTGAAAAAAAAAAAAATCCTAAATCCAATCTGCTCTTGGGTGAGTCCATTAAAATGGTGACATTTTTAATAAAAGCACAGTGGGAGATCACAGCGAGGGGAGAGAGTGGGTGCTTTTCAGCTACTCCGTTCTTTTAACACGAGGCAGCATGGTCAGATTTTTGTGAGCTTCATTAAATGAAAGGAAATTCGCCAGTGCCCTGGATAATGCTGGGTGTGATGTGGGTTGTCTGGCTCCCTGCTCACACACTCGCACGCCTTCATTCTTAATACAATCACAGACACACAAAACAACACTACAGCTGCATGCAGACCGAATGAAATATCACAGAAGTGCAACAGAATACAAAACTATTAATAATGTGGTGACATTTGAAGCTGAGCTGTTGGAGGTGTTACCATTGAAGAAAATCATTTAGACATTCAAAGTTGTGATTGCGATATGAAGAAACATGAGCAGACACACATAGTTCATTTCACTTAACTGATGACATTATGCCACTGCACTGTGATCCAGAATTCACTGTACAAACAATCTAACCAATAGTATTACCCAACATGTGGCTCCTTTCTGTTCATATATGGATTTGTATGCAAACAAAAACACAAAGGGTAGATGAAGCATGTGCCTAAATGTGTCTAAAACATTACACAAATAGGGCTAACTGTCAATTTCCAAAGCCAATATGCTGATGTAAGGTCTGCGTCTTGGCAACCTTTATACACAATGTAAACTTAGGGGGCGTGTAAAAAAGTGTGTTGGGTGCTCTTGGAAAAGGGGGAAATGGTTATACACCTAAAAGTGGAGGAAACCAGGCACTTCAAGCATGAAACATCTAAAAATAAGGAAGGAAATAATTAAATGATGCTAAATCATTTACAAAGCCAACATGTTTTAACCATAGAGGTCTTCATAAGGGCTGATGGTGTGGCCACACATACTGTATATATACTGTAAACTACAGCCAATGGTAGGCAGTCACATGAATCATTCCTAGGACTGTATAGCATTGGCTGTAGTATTAGTTAAACTTACTTTAAAAGAGACTACGGGTCAGTTCCGGTAATGTCGTGGCCAAAACAGCCCAAACAACATGAACAAGTTTTCCTCAAAGTTTGAATCCATAGAAAAAGACTTGAGTTGAAGTTCTGTGTAGCCTGAAGCTGCTTCGACAGTGAATGGAAGACTGATTTTATGGCTCAGTACTGTACCGTCTTATCTGAACTTTATTATGTACTGTACTCTAAAGCGTTACACTCTGGTAGTGCTATAAATTCAGGGCCAGAAAATGCCAAATAAAAAACCATGATGTGCATTTATACGGCCCTTTTTCTGTCTCCTTTGATTCATTCAGGACAGTGTTATAATTAGATTCGCTTGAGTGGAGCAAAAGTTTGCAGAAGATGTTCAAAGGCTGAAATTTACTTTTTATGAAGTCTGCTTTATCATCGGCGGTGATTATTCACTGTGAAGTCGCTCAAAAAGAAACTCTTCATTCAAGGACATAAAATTTGCAATTCCCAAATGTGTGATGTTTATCTGTACTGACCTAACTTTTGGTCTGTTTCTGTTTCCAGGTATGAGATCAGGGACCTGCATCTTGTGGAGGAGAGCGTTCTGGAGAGCCTAAAGGTCAAAGCCGACTTTCACAATTTCAAGCCGCGACCCTTTAACATGAGGGAATTCTACGATCGAACCGGTCACGACATCAACGACATGCTGCTGTCCTGCCACTTTCACGGCACAGAGTGCAGAGCCGAGGACTTCAAAGTGGTAAGTCTGACATTGATTTAAAGATACTTGAGGATATTCTTTGGCATTTCAAACAAATCCTGATCAGACCAAAACAAACAACGGATCAATCAGTCTTCAGTATTGTCTGTGTAGACAAAACCTGCTCCTCTTTTTCCCATTAACTCTTAATTCTTCTCACTTTCCGGAGAATGAACTATAGTACCCATTTTTAACTAAGCGACAACCTCCGTTCTTGCAAACTGAAGACAATGCGGGAGTGCAAAATCCATTCAAGTTTGGCTCAGGAGCACCGGAAGTCAAATGCACACCTATTCATAAGGCATCTCTCCACCGTGGAGGACTTGTAATCTTATCCGTATTACGGCATTTTCAAATCTGTTGCTGAAAATATTCCCAAACAAATGCACAATACCGAATCCTTTTTTGTGCAATGTTTGCTTAAATTAAAAGTTCTCTGGTATTTCAGAAAGTGATCGCCTGTTAAAATAAATATTCTATGTTTTATGACCTCTTCTGTAGAGACCTGTGCCTTCAGGAGGACTGAAATAATTTGCTTTTTGTGTTTGAATACAACAGACTCAGAACATTTGTTACAGAAAAAAAGCAAAAAACATCAGCTTATATATTTAAAATTAAATATTTATGGCGTTTTTTTGCTTCAATTAGATAGGACAGCTGAAGAGAAACAGGAAGCGTTGGGTGAAGAGAGTGGAGGATGACATGCTGCAATTGGCTAAGGTCGGATTTGAACCCACAGCCGCTGCAATGAGGACTATAGCCTCCATACATGGGGCGTGCGTCAAAGCCGCTCGGCTATTGGCGCCCCTCATCCTATTCATCCTACTCATCATACTCTGTAATTTTTCACTGATTTCTTTGTATTTTTTGAGTGGATGATTGCAGAACACCCACTCTGTATGAATCCTAGGATGATCTATTTATAGAGAGTTAAAGAATGATGAACCCTGAACCCCCCACAGCAAAGACAAAGCAAACCTCTGAGTGAACTGAGGGGAAGACATCATGTCGTTTTCTGACCTGAGGATACCTGCTGTTTTTCTGGGGATTTTTTTTTCTGTGGTTTCCAACAGAGACATTGTCAGTTTACATTATGTTTTGAACATTCATTGTTCTTTTATTCCCCGATGTAGACAAACAGACATTTACAAAACAAAGTCAGATTTACACTGCGGTGATTGATCTCCCCCTTTTCTTGTTATACGATGATACAGTAGGGATTTGTTTGCATCAGTCTGCAAATAAAAAGACATTTCATATCTGAGCTGACACCCCTTGTTAATATTTATGATCAAACATTCTTTTCGGCTGTTTATTTATTTAGCTGAATCTCCATCTCCATTTTTACATATCTCAGGTTCAGGTTACTTTATTTGTCCCTGTAGGCAAATTTGGTGTTTACATCTACCTTTTCTTTCTTTTATGTTATTATTCAAACTTTAAAGAAAGGAAGCGGCAACAATGCACAAAAATGGCTTTTAAAATGAAATGCTTGTGGGGAAGAATGTGGAATAAAGCAGTGAAACTGGTCAGAGAAATCTGTTTAAACAGCCCACTGGCATTATATATGTACGACTGACTGACTAATGTTCAAGTTCAGCAAAAAGTGGAGCTCCCTTGGCTGTAACATCTTAGCCATAAAACCATGCTGTCACTGCTGCTGCACCCGGACTCTGTTGCCAACGGTCACTGGCATCCGATGTGATTTTTAATTTGGAGATGAACATTGATCATTCCACTCTGCAGCCCGCTAAACTGATAGATTAACTTAAATGGTGTTTAATTTTACCCAAAAAATAATAATTTCTGCATAGTGGTGGTGTAGAAGCAAGTCCATATCAACAACGTGTGAGTTGTGTGTAGCATCACCTTTTTAACCAGGAGAGTTGTTATGTGCTAGCTTTAGAGATGTATTTTTGTCATAGGAACATTTATACACTTTCATACACAATAACACCAAAAGTGGAGCTCTACATGCTGCCACTTACTCTGCAGCAGCTGCTCTGAAGTAGCTTTGAAGTGAGATTTCTGCTTGTGGGCAATTTTACTATTTTTCCCTACAAACCCAGTGAAAGGGAATCTACAAGAAGACTCATTTTTTATGTCTCTGCAAGCAGTTTTAAGGAGTGAGATTAGCCCAGTTTGCCTGTATTATTAAAATCTCTGGTAGCAAGTAGATACTCTGATGTATTTTGTTTTCTTTGAACGGTGTCCTTCTAAATTTTTCATTTATTAATGACTCTTGGAATCATTTTGGGAGCTCTGTAGCTCTGATAGCTTACTGTTGTTTTTCTCTGTGGTGTTCATTTTTCAACAACCAAGAAGGAATGTTAAAGGTAGGGTTAGTAATTATATCCAGCGTGCACTTTGTCTTATATTTGTTAAAACTGTCTTCCTGTCACGAATACCGCTGAACCGAAATGCAGGCATTTTATTCTGAATCTTGCATGGGTGAGGTTTCCAGGGCTGGGGCTTGAGCTGTTTGGAGTTGGCTGGCTGGTTAGCAGGTGGGCTTTGTTGTCAGTGAGGCAGATTGGTACTGGGAGTGAAGAGGGCAGAGTGGAAAGCGGTGAGGAAAAACAAAAAACGCCAAGCACTCACAAAAAATAAATACTCTGACATTAAATAAAACACACACTCTCATCTTCAAGGCAAACTGGTGTCATGTTGCAGGTACTTTGACACTTAACAATGTGCTCTGAACAAGGACCGAAAAAGAGCCTTAAGAGCTGCTGTAATCCTATAAAAACTCCCACCTATCACTGCCATGAGGTCCGGATGGAAAGTTCAGATGAAATGCCTCCCTGGCTCACTGTGATACTCTACCCGTGTTCCAGCCAGCACTCAAAGTGCTTCACAGCTGCCAGAGAGCAGAGTATCAGAGAAAGCTCAACTCAAATGACCACTGCCATGGTTACCTGTAACTGAGAAAATAAAGATGGAGGAGAGGGCTGTTGTGAGAAAGAGTTTAGAAGAAGTAAGAGGACAAAGCAGAGTAAACATTCATAAAGCTTCATTTTCAGTTATGGAGACAACTGAGCGAGAGACAGAGGGTAACACACATTGTTTGCTTCCTCTTGAGTGGGGGAGTGTAGGTGTAGTTCAAGGTTTTAAAGACAAAGAAAATGTCATGATCTGCAAAATTCTGATATCTGACTTTATGTGCTGTATCAAGATCTTCCATGATAACATTATTTAATTTAAAAAATTGTACACATCCGTTTAGTTAAGGACATTTAAGCTCATGTGAGGACCATGTGTGTTGACTTTGGGTGTGGGGGGGGGCTGTGGACAAAGCAGTACCTTGCTGATCTTTTACTGTACATGTGTAAGTTCTTTGTTTTTCTTTTAACAGTCAATTGTACAAACTCAATGAGAATCTTTGGTGTGGAAAACATGAGAAAAAAAGGTTGTTCCTGCAGCGTGCAGTTAATCCTTTTTGTTGACACCTATACCTGCAGCAGCAGTTTCAGACATTCAGCAGAATAATAGTCCATCTTCATGCTGATGGTCATGTTTGCTTTTGTAGCTCATAAAAATCCATCAGTATTAATTTCATAACCAGTTAAAAACTCCTCACAGGAGCTTTAATGCTCATTAAGTGGTTTCTCTATTAATCATGGCAAAGATTGATCAGGATTTTCCACATCCCTCACTTCAGACTTCAAACTGCAGGAGACTCTGGTTTCTGTATTGTGTGTGTTAAACTATGAAACTCATACATACTATAAATACCACTAAACCTGCTGATTTATACTTCTCCTCTCATTCATTCACGTTCATCCCGAGTGCCAGAGATATTACATTAGCTTGTACATTACCCCTCTAAATATTCATAATATAAAAACGGGTTGTGGAGTTAATTTGGTGTATGGCTGGATCGACAATTCCTCACAGTAAAATGTTAAAGGATTTATTTTCACTTTATTCAAAAAGTCCTTAATGGAACATAGCCAACACGTGTCCCTTCCCTATTAAATTTGTCCCACAGTCATTATCTGATCCGTTCAAGTGCAAGCTCCAAATCCCGCAAGCAATAAATTCAGGATTTTTTATTTTTATTTTTATTATTTATTTGTAAAACCATAATTGTCCTTGGTAATCGATGGAAAACCATGGTAACGAATGACTTCACTCCCAAATTCTCTTTAACCGACCTTTACTTTCTTTTCTTGTTTTTCTTATTCTCGTGTGTGTGTGTGTGCGTGCGTGCGTGCGTGCGTGTTTTATTCTGTTTTAATTGTACTGGAGACATAATTAAAAATGAAGGCTTCCCCTAATGATTCCTAATGACTCACATGAACGACTTAATGAATGAAAATTGTGAGTCTTCATAATTATAATAGGTAAGTTAATTGATTTTTATTTATTAATTCCATAATTGCATATTTTGCCTGAAAGGGTTTACAGTCCGCAGCATACAACACCCTCTCATCTCAGAACCATGATGACCAAACCTCTAATTCTTCCATAGCTCTTCCAACAACTTCAAAAGTTCTGTGTAGGTGTCGAGTTAAATCCACACGTTAACTTATCTAAGTGGTTCTAACTTCATTATGATTCTTATTGAGTCACATTTCTACAGTTAATCAGTAGCTTTAAGCAGTGGCACTCTGCTGGTAGCTGTCAGCTCAGCTGCGATTCACAGCAGATTCCCTCCTCATTAAAGGCTCATTAGAAGACCGTGAAAACCACAGAAACGATCATTAAGTGATAACTGTCACAAGGTGTTGGCTTGCTGAGCCGCTAACCTAATCCTTATAAAGTGCTGGTTTTGTACTTAACTGAACTACAACTTTAACTACAACTGCACCTTTATCGTTACCCCCGAAGGAAATTAGATCTGCTGCAGGCAACACCACACAACATGTACACAAGAGACAACATCAGAAATACACACAAACAGGAAAATTAAAAGCTCAAGTGAAAAACAGGAACTTCAACCACACTGAGTCAGAGGCAGAAACAGTTCAGACTCAGCACAGAAAAGTGCATTAAGT